CCCTGGGGCGCACTGACAGAGGCGAGGCTGCCGGACACTGGCGCCACCGGCCCCTCTGACCACCACCAGTAGGCAACGGGTGAAGTGTCTCGCCCAAGGACACAACGACCGAGACTGTCGGAGCCGGGGCTCGAACCGGCAACCTTCCGATTACAAGGCGAACTCCCAACTCTTGAGCCACGATCGTCTGTTGGAAGGATTCTCCATCAGATGACAAGCTTCTCCTTAAAAGACATGTTTCTCGTAACAGTGCAAACTGTGTGGACTCCGCCTTCTTTCTGAGCTGATGTTGTTCTCTTTTCAAATTACAACAAAACATTCATTCACAAGGAAAAACTTCCTTTTAACAGGAAGAAACCTCCAGTAGAACCAGGCTCGGGGGGGGGGGGTTGATTGTGTTTTCAGTTTATAAACACAATCAATCTTTATTGTAGATCAGTGCATGAAATATGAATGTTTTTATTGAGTCACGCTGTGCAAATATGTGTTAAACTACAGTATCTTTACCTGGTGTAGGTAGAATTTATGAGCTTCATATTTGGTCTGTGAAGCTGTAAAATTGGTAAATGTGACTTAAGAAGTCACTGATGAGCTCTTAGCTCTTAAACAACAGTTTTTAATAAACCTTTTAGAAAAAGAAAACGTCTCCCCGTCGCCGCCGCCGTCACCGCCTCGATTGGCGGTCGAGAGCTCTGAGCAGGTTCATGTTAAAGCTCAGTTTCAGTGTTGGTGTGAGCTCCTGATAGGGACCAGGGCCGGGTTTTAGTGCCTCCATGTCTCAGATTAAACTGACAAAAATTGAAATAAACATGAGAAAATTTTATTGTTACTTTTTCCTCTAATATTTTTCAGTAAAGCGTTTTTTCACACTTGGTTTTAGCTTAATATAGCTGACTCTAATAACCTTTATTCATGAAAGGCCCTCCTGCTGGGTTCAGGGTGAAGGGTGTGCGTTCTTTGACACAAGTGGGTGGTGGTGAGTTTGTTTCTGTGGTAAAAGGAAACAAAACGAGCAAATGTACAATTTGTGAAAGAAACTTGGAGGGTGGTGGTTTTTACCGGAGAACAGTCAGCGTGAAGTCGCCCAAAAACCCAGTGAGTGCCTCTCTGTCCAGTCTTTGCTTTCGTGTTACAGGAACGTGAACACCGAGCTTTTGAGAACTCGCTGCCTAATTAGACTCCCTCCATTCTCCTCTAATGGGGCCTGATTTTTGACACTGAAATATAGACGTGTAGAATCAGCGTGTGTGTGTGCGTGTGTGTGTGTGTGTGTGTGTGTGGTACGGGTCAGGATCCTCACAATGTGTGCGATGTTGGTCGGGGAGATGGACAGGAGGGCTGCCGTCCCCCTGGACCTCATTATAGCTCTGAAGGAAGACGCGCACACGTTTAACAGCCGACATCTGGAAAAGGGCAGAGGGCACACGTCGACGCGCTCACGCCGGCACGCGCGGCTACACCACGAGTCTGAAAAAGGGCATAGAGGGCTTAAAAAGAACGAACACACACACAGACACACACACACACAATGAGCGGTGGATCATGCCCATAGCAGCCATACAGCAGAGTCCTGGGATTCCAGGATACTTTGTTCCTTCGGCCTCTGTCGTCTTTTAGTCTGGTCATCTCTCCCCTGCAGTTGTCACAGTGTTAAACAGCTGAGTGTCCTCTCTGACATCAGACACGCGCCCCGCCTTAGACCGCCTTTACAGCTCACTCACACACACACACACACACACACACACACACACACTCACACACT